GACCATGTCGGCAGCGAGTTTCAGGGGCATATACGATATGAATTTTGTGATTGATGGTGAACTCAGCTCGCGTATCTCGGATAAGGCATTTGAATGGTTATTAGAGTTGGATGAACTTCCTCCTGATGGGTGGTTAGAATGTTTTACGACTGCGTTGGTAATTAATTCTTGGATTTGGGAGGCAGAGCGGGATCGAGTTCTGGTTGTGGAAGAACCACGAGAGGAACTGCGCGGACGAATACTACCACTCGCGTTACGCCGTGAACTCGTGGCACGTTTCCGAGTTGTTGGCGGCATTTTGACTCTATTGATATTTCTTATTGAATTAAAATAATCTAATCTTATTGGTATTTACGTAACAGCAGATTCTCTTGTTGATTTAGCGCGGTTCCCAGCCGGTCACCCTTGGTTCCTGGATTCTCCCTCGTCTCCGCTCGACTCAATATAAATGTTGTCTCTGCTTGGCTCTGTATAACCGTTGTCTCTAACAGTTCTTCCTGGGTTCTTGTGTCTCGTTCTCGTGATCTCGTTCAAAAAAATTTTTCTGGGCTAGATTTTTATTTTCTCAGCATGAAAAAATCCAGTTTACGCCGGTGATTCGATGGAATTTCGCTAACTGTCCACGGACATCGAAATCACCCTTCTCCGACATTCGTCCAACGCATCCAGCGGGAAAACCGTGGTCAAAGAACCGGGATGAGAGAAGAGCGCTTTTGTAAATTTTTATCCACAGTATTTGATAATATTTCACTTGAAACACAGGGGCCACCAAACGGATAAATGTTATTTTAGCTCGTTAAATCGATTGTTCGAATGGGTCATAACACAGAGTCGCCCCCCTTTTTTCACTTGGGTTTAATTCGCACTCTAGTCCAGGACGTTTAATTTAATTCCCGCTTCACTTTTCTAACACCTCGCGAGCCAGCAGAATAATTTATTTATTATTTGAATCCCACCGCTGTCACCAATGTTATACGACGTTTTCCAATGTGGTCGAAGAGGGCGGGTAAGTTGCCCGTGGAGTGCTAAAGCACTCTGCTCGCTGGAAGCGGGAAGGTTTAAAAAGAGAAATAACTCCAACTCGAGTATTTAAATATGATTTGCACTTTTCAATTATAAACTGAACACGTTAAATTGGAAGGAGTGTTTCTTTCTTAAACTCTGAGACACAAGTGGTCTCTCGGGAGGGTCGCGTTGATTATAAAAGAAATATGTTTTAACGGGATTTCGGAATTTCGAGGGAAAGTAAAAGAGAGAGAGTTGAGTCTATACTAGAGGCAATTAAACAATAACTATTTGCCATCTGCTGAGTCGGGGCCATTCCAGGGTCTGCACATTCGGGGAATACCCAGCTCTGGTCTTTTGTTCCTTATTCGATTTGTAATATTCTTACTCTTTATTATTTACATAATTATTTCTTAACAAGGTGCGCGACATTGAAACGATGAATTGAATTATTCCCGCGGAACGCGAGCTCCACTAGTGGGAAATTGGGGAAATTATATGGTTGATACTGATCTATATACAACACTAGGGACTGTTGAGTTTTTTTAAGTTTCATGCATTGGACAGGGGAAAAGTGGCGGTCGCAGGTGTCACTCCCAGAGATTTGGAGGAATTCGCTTTGGAGTTTTGGGAAATTCCGAACGAAAGAATTGTGAATGGGTTTAACGAATGCAATGAATCAATTCAGGCAATGTGTGTTTGTCATTGCTGAATTAATATTGTAAATAATGAAATATGCTGTTTTACCGATACCCGAGTAAAATATTATTTGGACGGTAAAATATTAATAAGTGGCACCAGACTTTGATAGAGGGCCGATCAATAAATCGATTATCGCCCATTGTTAGCCAATCTAATGATTGGTAACGTTATCTTAGACGACGCTCGACTTGGCGTCGTTCTATCGAATCACTCATCGTTTGGACATCACTTAAAGCAGTCATATTATTTGTGAGTCTAGTTCGTTATATCGCGGAGGAAAGAAGGATTGATTTTGGAGAGGTCCGACTGGTGTTTCGAGAACGGTTTCATTTATTGGAAAAATCTAGCTGCCGGATAAATTGGTTGGATGTCGGTAAGCGATTGAACACTTCCGAAAAGTATTTTTGGTTAATAACTTAACTTATAATACTTACTAATTAGTTACTAATTAGTTAATTGTTTAAGGTTTTTGATTTGATTAAGATGCTTGGCGTCCATTGTCTCACTGTGAATTCTCCAGGGGGTTTTGTCGGTGCTGGGGAAAGTTGTTTATAATTCTCTAGCGATATATTCCTACAATTTTGGTGTTATCGACTCTTGTTCAAATTATAAGGCTATTTTATTTAGATATTTTGTGAATTTAACGAAAATTGGAATTATAGCATCATTAGCGATGCTTGAGTAATTTGTTTTCAATTGAGAGGTGACTTACAAGGTCAACGGATTTTACAGGAATATAGTAACTCAAAGTAATTCTAGTTTATCGTGATTTCATTTTGGAAAGTATTACCACTTGTTTGTATTAACCTTGGGAAAATTAATTGAATTCCTTTATCTAAGATTTTCTTTTACTTATGTTATTGACTTCATCATCTCTTTAAAATAATATTGTATATTTGATTCAAGAATTGGATGTTGTGATTTAATTTATTTATATTTTTTTTTACATTAATTTTTATAATTCTTGACAAATATTTAATCTTGCATCTTGACTTTGTTTTATTAGTTTGATGTTTAGAGATTAGTGATTAGGGATTTTAAACTATATCGAGTCTTTCGACTTTAAAATCTGTAGATTAAAAATTATAGAAAAATTTATCAAAAATTATTAATTGCTTTATCGAGGTTATCGTCTCAATCGAATTGAGGGACAAATAAATAGTCCTATTAAATGAGTCTGGTAATATTTTTTTTTATTTTAGAAAAATCCAATCATTTCAGAGTTGTCTTTTGGAGCAGGATTATTGAACCCAGCCGCGTCCGCGGTTGATACTGAGTTGCCGGTTACTGTTCCTGTCGTTATTTTATTTGAATGGTATTTGTGCATTTTGATGAGAAAATGTACTGGCGCCTGACTTAAATTTAATTAGTTCGATCGCAGAGGGCTTCGTATTTCTTTTCCTTTCCACCAGGAAGTGAAATACGTCACAAAACATAAAAAATGACGGACTCTATCATTTTATTTCTTTTTCTCTTTTTTAGAGGATACATTCATTTTCTATCCATCTCTGCTCGATGCAAGACTGCATAAAACTTTCCGAGAAAAATTCGGAAAAAAGCTATATGCTGTGACGAGGCAGAATTTTGCGCCCCACCCCCGTGCCCCCTAATTAATACATGTTACTTTAATTGGTTAAGTTAGGTTTAAGTAATCTTTTTTGCCACCGTTGGGCAACCCATCCCCAGATACTTCTAACCCTCGTCCCCGTTTTCCCTCCCCTTGGCACTCACGCATCAACATCATGAAAAAGGACCCCACGTGACCCCGGAGGAAAGAGACATCCCTCGAGCGAGCCCGTAAATGAGAAAAAGAAGGACACCCGATGACCCCCCAAAAAAATCAGGAAGGAAGAGGTGAGGATGATTGGAAGAAATCACTCGTGCCACAACTACCCCACGAGTCATTGCCCGATAAAGTAAGAGAGTTGCCCCGCAGTGATCCTGTGAAGAGTTAGCCCCATAGTGATTAAAGACCAAGAGACCTACGAAAAGACCTTGAAACAGTGTGAAGGAACAAAATGTGAGGAAAGGAACTGGAGTGTGACAGAGAAAAGGAGTGAAAATCTAGTGTGAAAGGAGTGAAGGATATTGTGGAGGATTTTCGTGTGTGAGAGGATCTATTGGAAAGATCGTGAGGATGAGGAGAACTATTGTGGAGAGGATACACGGAGAGAGCGGAGATAGAGAGAAGGAAGGAAGAAGGAGAGACCTCGAGAAAAGCGGAGAGAATTTTGAGGACACCATTCCCCGTGAGTGCCCCATTTTTTATTATTTCCCTGGCCCAACGAGTTTCCCAGCCCCTGAATATAATTTCCCCCCAATGGTGAGCCTCCAGTAAATTCATTTTAGTTGTAAATTAAGCCCCCTATTAATTATTACCTTTTCAGTCGGCCCCCCTCACTTCTCCCCCTTTTTCCAGAGTTAGAGTCACCCCTTCTCTTTATTATATCATATTTCGCGTAGCCGCAAGTGAGTTGGCCTTACCCACCACCCTCGAGTTAATTAGTTATTAGTCAAAAGGCCTGGATTATTTTTCATGTTAATATTTTGTTATGAGATCAGAATACAGATAGCCAATTTATACATCCCCCCGAGTAATTATTGAGAACCCCCCTCCCTCTTAGTATTTGAAAACCTCCCGTAAGTGATAGTACATTTCCTTAATTTTTTCAGAATATTATTAATTCCTCAGTATCGTGTCCTCGCCGGGAATTATTATATTTTAATTCCCCGGCCAAGGTCACAATGCATGATATAGTTCAGATTATTCAACCGGGCCTTAAATGGAATATTCAGTCACACGATTCCAGTGTCAAAAGATAATAATTTCAACTTCCTTTGACAGGTCTTACGTATGCAGCGAGTCCACACGAATGGGTTGTCCTGGGCTTGGAAATTGTATCCACAGTGAGGATACAATAACATTAATCAGGGAACATAACCATCCTCCTTTATATGAAACAGACAACACAATGGAGTTCAATGACGGATTATGGTTAGATGTTATGAACACTGATGATGATTTGAAATCCATTTATTTACGTGTAGCTCTTGAGTAAGTACAATAATCTTCATGTGCCCCAATTCTTAAAAAAATGAAGGAAAAATCAGTCAACTATGTCAGAAAGGCCTGAACAATATACTTCTAAACTTGAGACAACAATAATTTAGTTTTATGTCTTTATGTAAGTTTTGCAAGTTGCAACCAAGAATAATTCTATTTATTCAAAAAATGTGTTTTAAAAGAAAGAAAAAATTGACATGATTTTTATCTTATAAATGTCTTACGGTAGATACGTTATCGCGTGGTTGATTGGTTTTCTTTTTGGTAATAAATAAATATATAGGACATCCATGGGCAGAAAGTACTTAATAATTGAAATCTGGTCACAATTAATTTGTTAAGTTGATTCAATAATCAATTATAATAAATTGGTTTGCGTATACCTCACAAACATTTTAGCAATTGCCATTATTTTTTACCATTAGCCTTGTCTTTTATGGAATAAATACCGTGGGTGAGACAGTACTCGCACGATTAAGAATTCTCGGCCAGTCAAAGACATTTTTTAAATTAGTGATATGCGCAAAGACGAAAAAATCATTTTACAGTAAGCCCCAATGTATTGCGAATAGTAAAAAGTTAATTTTTACGGAAACGTATGCGCTAATAATTAATTATTAATGAAAATAAACTAGTTGGTCGAAGCTATAGTACTCGGGCACTCAAATCCGCAGTGCGTAGCTACTCGCACGGCCAGAGCCGGAGAAGTCGGACGGCGCAATTACCTATGCTCCCATTACAAGTTGAAAGATTCTTTTAACGTTTTTATTCAAATTTTTTTTATTAGCTGTCTGGTTTTATGATAACCTCTGGCACAATTCAGAATGTCTTTGAAGAAAACCAGCATACCAACCACGCCCTGGGCGGTTTCCTCTGAAAATTGTCGTCTTTTTCCTGGCTTTGACAAGCATTTGGACACTATCTAGCAACGGCGTTTTTGAGATAGGGAAGCCTCTGTTTCCCATGCTAATTACCCACTGGACGAGTTTAGCTTCCTCCAGGTCACCCAGGAGACACGGTGGTCCTTTCTTGACAACTGTGGGGGCCATCCGCCCCTTTGACTTGTCATGGAGTGTCGATTTTGGTATGTTATACTGTCGGCTCACTGCTCCTAGCTCCTTCGTCCGGTTTTTAAAGCTGCCAGTGCCTTCTCTAACTCCTCTGCACAATAATTTTGCTCTTTTTTCTGTACTAATTTACCCCTGTGAGAGATCACCTATTAGTACTTTCTCTCAATGTTTGGGATAATTTTTCATGAAAGAAAAGGATTACTAGGTCTGAGACACATGTTTGACAGGTGAGGTTAAATAACCCGTCCGAGTGCTGCAATAAGTGCCTTCTTAACGTAGGGGTACTCGGACACCAATTTTTTAATTATTCTACACGTTTTTATCACTATTTACAGCTTTTAAGACTTTTGTTATCCCTTTCTTTACAGTAAAGAATTGTTTCACTGGGTTTAGTACTTACATGTTCAGTTTTTAACACCATGCACTGGCCAGTGGAGCTAACCTATACGCTTAGCAGTCAGGCCCGGAAATGTCATGTCCGCGCAGACCACCATAAATCTCAAATTAAATACAGATCTCGCACTCAAATGTTAGGCCGAATAGATTAGACGTTTCTCATTCCACCAGAATCAAATTGAGGATGGCAAAATGAAAATTAAAAATTGAAACAATGAATTTACAAAAAAATATTGGCCTTCGTGCGAGTTCTCCTACCCGTCCGAGTACTGTCTCACCCACGGTACTGGACAAAAAACGGGAATGAAGGAAAGAAATCATTCTGTTTCGATATGTTTCACGTTTGCGCTATGTTTTCGATATGTTTCCAGTTTGTAACATTGCAAATTCGACACGTTGAATACACTCATAACAGTTGATCAAGTGAATGGAATGAGAAAAATTACATGCTAAAATTCTGTCTAGTATATTAAAAAAAAAATTGGACATAATTTTTTTTGGAGAGATTATGATCGGTGTGAAGAATTAAATTGGATCAATTTTCATAGCAGGAGCGACACCTTCAAATACTCCACTTCTTTACACCCACTCCTGTAATCGCGCTTTTACTATGGTTTAAAAAATTTGCACACACAGGAACAGAAAGCTATGGGACTATTTACAATGAGAAAGGGAAAGTAAAGGATAGATGTATTCGGAAAGCAAATAGCATCAGGGAAGCACTATAGCGAGACGACCGTGGCTAGACATATATTTACCTATTCTTCAATTTGTAGGTGTTCTGTTTTTTTTTAGGAGTTCATTATTTGCCCATTTATTTTTGAGTATTTTATAAATGTTCCAAATATTATGTACCGTTAAATCCGTTACTTTTTTCCTCAAGGTAATTTTAGCTTAAGCTGCATTTTTCTTGGATAAATAATAATCTTAGCCTTTCCTTGTATATCTGAATTCTTAATAGGCAGAACGAAGGCTTCTGCAAAGGGGCACGACCCTGTCACACTCAGCATCCTTCCATGGCACGGGATCCTGTGTATGAGTAGAGGGAATGTTATTTTGCCGGCGTAAATGTTCGATACCATTGAATTCAAGGGTCTTGCGAAAAAGTTGGTATTTTTTTTCAGTGTTGGGTTCATCGTATTCACTGGCGAAAAATAAATTGTATGATTCTTTTAGGGATTGCTTCAGCTTATCCTAGTCAGTTCGCACGGATATAATCCCCATTGATTTATTTCTATAAATATATTTGTAGATAGAGTTGTATGTAAATGGGATAGTGTTCATACCGCACGGAGAGAAATTTTCGGTGAAAATTATCATGACGTTATCGGGTAAAAATTATTCAGTTGGAAGGATAATTCTGTAACAGTGTACTATATGGGATTAGAGGGATGGAGGTGTCATCGCGGTCGATAAAATCTTATTCGATGGGGTATAGTATGAGGGTAATTGATGAGCTCAATGATGCGATAAGAGCTGTCGATGCGTTGAGAGTTTCCATAGAGAGAGTAGAGGCATCAGGCTCTTTGCCGCTTCACGTAGTAAGTCCCACACGGCCTATTACAACCGTTCGAAATCTACAATACTCCTTAGAGTAATAAAAATTTACAACCCATAGCATGTAAATACGGATTCAATTTGAAATACTAAAATGATTTCCAACGAATTTAGTGGTTTAGAAATTCTATTGATCCTATCCTAATTTGTCCCACTCCCCCCTACAGGGTTATTAGCAAATATTTTTTCATCACATTGTAGGAAGGTTGCCACGATAATATTAATAAATGTATTCTAATCAGATTTGATGCTGCTGCCACAGTCGTTACTTGGTCTACAATTGAGAGATCGATGAGAGGGTGGCGTCAACAGAGCCGCCCAGCCATTCCAGCTACATTACAGGAGCACAGTGAAATTATCAATCTCCCGAACTAGGAGAAATATCGTGTTTATCCTGGTGGACATTTAAGTCTATAATACCATTGTTATCGATGATGAAACGTCAGTCGCAATATTTGGAAATCAAGAATATATGTCGCCATGGACTGACGTTGAAGAGTTACTGGTGGATTGTACATTTAATATTTCTTCTCGAGCTGCACACATTTCACAGTTTCTTACGATAATGGGAAGATTGGATGGCACGGTAAATTGATTTTATGTGAATGTAGTAGATACATTAATAATTTTTTATTCATGAATTTTTATTGATATTTTTCTTCCCTATTGCTTGGTCATTGATGACAAAAAAAAACTGAATTAGCTCATCGTGCTGTCTTTCAGTACTTCCATGATGAATTGACGCCATTGATTCGTCCCCGATCGTTCGCAATGGATTTTGAAATTGCAATATCCAACGCAGTTTCTGCTATTTACAATGACGTTCAAATTATGTACTGTTATTTTCATCATGTATATATAAGTATTTCTTCGTCGGCAGAAAATTGATATGGGTGAATTCCACTCTTTTTAATACTGCATGGTGAAAAAAATAACAATTCAATATGAACATATTTTATGATTATATATCCATGAAATTTTTGGGGAAAAATCATCCCGTCTTCACTGTTACACATAAAAAGAGCCATTATTATTATTGAATTGTCAATTAACAAGAAAACCCAACTTTTGAATGGCTCATTGGATTTAACCGAATAAAAAAAAGTCAACAAAAAAAAATTGATTGAGTTGGCATGAAATATATGAAGGAGTTAGGGGCAAAGTAAACATCTCTTTTCAGTTAAAAACATTTTAATTGGAGGAAGTACTTACCTTGGAGGTCATAAAGTTATGAAATTTGAATTAAAACTGACCATAACGTTCACAAATTCAGGGCGGCAAATAAATCCGTGTTTTTCTTAAATTAAAAAAAAATGGTTTACTTATATTGTTTTTGATTTGTTTTGTTATTATTACATCCCTATTATAACACAGGCCCTGTTACACAGAGTGAAACCACAAGGAGCAATCCACTTGACTCGTCTAAGTCGTTGGGATATGGGAAAAATGTTTTTCTGGAAACTAGCTGCACTAGCATTACTGCCAGCAGATAAAATCATTCAAGGCTTCAGATGGCTCATTGACAATGCAACACCAGACCTTCTTAATTTCTTTCAAGATTTGACAACATATTACAAAAATTGGTGGCCAGGTAGAGTTACCCCAGTCAAGTACTCAGTCTTCAGATTAAAACATCGCACCAGCAATGCTTATTGAGGCTTACCACAAAAATTTGAACCAAGAAATTGGAAGCCATCCTGGAATTTAAAAATTTACAGGTGAAAGCAATATAAATTTTGTTTATTTAGAGTGTTATCTAATTCACGTCTAGGAAATTGCATTATAGCTGAATCTTTCAACTCGTCTCCCTTTGACTAATAAAAGAAAGTAATTTCTTTGCTCTGTTGCTGGATTGGACAATTGTCTAGTTTCTTGTTGGTCTGCGTCATAGCCCGCACGATTCTACGAATACGAAAAACACAATTCAGGTCCATTTGAAAGCAAAAAGAGATAAGAGTAATATAGTATAAGAGTAATAATAAGAGTAAAAGAGAAATTAGTCCATGGTTAACTTAACGAAAATCATAAGTACTGGGTCTTAATAAAATATTAGGGCAGTTAAATTTAATTCAATTGGGTTAGTTGGTTTAGGCAATTGTCAATAATAGTTAAAAGAAACATATCTCTAGATATAAATAGAAGAAGAAATTGAATTATTTCTATTTCTTTGATATTTTTCTTGATAATTTTTTCCATTATTCCTGTTCCTTATGCATTCTTACTGACCTTCTGTAATCTTATATTCTATTTCTAAGTCCGAGAACGAACGTTTTCTTATTATTTTTCTTCTTGAATAAATACTTTTTTAATTATTGTTCTAGCTGCTTTGAAGAATATCCAAATTACTGCTCAACGAGAGGTGCATTCATTGAATATGGGTATCCCAGTCCGTCGATCAGTGCACTGAAAAAATATTATACACGAAGAATTGCTCGCCCTTCTGTGGGAATCCTATGCCAGTGCAAATTTCACTATTCCTCAATTTCTGGCCTGCTCAAATCATATATCGAGTTCATTTAACAATGATTTAGTCATTGATTCACAAGCAAAATTAGACAACTTGATGGTGTCTCAAATCCACAATCGAGGTAAGACTGATCGTCCTTAATACCAAAAATGAGATGACTGTACTATTATTTAAACTCTTGAATCGGGTACCTAAACATGTATATAAATGATCACATGACATTATATATTGCAAAAAAATTTATAATTGTAAAAATTATTGCATTAGAGTATTTTATTGCCTAATTAGATCTACCTTATCATATAATTTATCATAATTTTAAACCCCTGAAGCTTTCAGATATTCAACCACCCCATCGTAATTTGGAAAATGTAATTATTGTTAATCACCGAGAATGAGACCCAGTTCCAATTATAAAAGCGGAGGAAATTGAAGACAATATGGAAGTGTTCATCTGTGAGTTTCTTCAATACGATAATGTTCACGGGATAGGATAATTCCATTTTCTCACTTATGATTATGGAATAATTTGAATATTTTTTTTTGTTGCTAATATTCACCAGGTTCTATGTCTTCAGTGCAATCAGTTGATTCTGAATGTTATTTGCTTTCCGACACTGGTTTTTGTGTGAAAAATGCACCAGGAATTTGACTATGCTTACATTAAGGCATAATGCTGAAATAATGTGCAACGTTTGTTTTAATATTTTTGAGCTATTTGTAATTGTGCAAATGCAAATGCCATAGAAAATTATTATATTGTATTTGATTTTATGAATAACCATTATATTCCTTAAATAAATTAAAGAAAAAGAAATTGATTCAATTGTCATGAAATTTTCAACATCGTTTTATATCTGCTTCAATAGTAAATTTTCAAAATTTCAACAAAGTTTGTTTTCTTGGACTATATTGACAGAAGTTTATCTTTCCCCATAAAAAAGCGGTGTTAATTAAAAACTTTAATAATTAATAACCACAAAACGTTGTTGTGGAACAACCTGCAATCTTATACAGGCATCTTTTATCGCTGCAACATACGTCAGAATAAAATGAGTTATTCCTTGTAAGGAATTCCGCAGGAATCCATTATGTAGTTGTGAGTATGCGGGAGGACCGGGGGAGGCACCGCGAACAATTATAATTGTTTCTTTGGAAATTCCAAGTCGCGAAAATCGCGGTTTAGGGTGGGTACGTTTTTGGTTTTGGGTGGAAGGCAGTAGTAAGTGGCCAGTATTGGGGAATTTCCCACGCCCCCTCCCCCCTTTTTTCCAGGAAATGTGGGTGCAGGTGCAGGTGTGCGCCCCAGGGGGTATTGTGCGGGTGTGCGCCTGGACACGTTCACCCCCTTTGTGCCTTGACAAAGGAATTTGACTTTAAG